ACAATAATTACGAGGTGCAACAAATGTTCACCACAAAATTCCTGAGTAGCCTTTTCGATTTCTTCTCTGATATATTGTAATATCAGCCGTTGTGAGTACTATGTAATCTAATGTTCCTGTGACCTGCATCTATCAACGTCATTGTCAGTTCGGCCGATTTTGCGATAAATAAAGGCAGAGATTTTCGTTTAAAGAACAGTCCAAACCCAATGTTTGCGAGATGATTTCACTTGAACAAAAGAAAGCCTCGACTACATCAGTAAGATATCCAATAGCTTGAGTTGTTCATCTAAAGTGGTTTTGATAAAAAAATTTACGTCATTTTTCTTTGTTTTTAGAGCATTTTAAGAGCGTTTTATTGATCATTTTTGTCAATGTTTAAGGTCATCAAGATCTTTCCCATAGTTATGAACATGATATGAAGACGTGTCTTCGCATGCAGCCGCTGCCGGTAATTACTTTGCATTTAAAACCAATTACAATAACTAACAATAGTTTCACTAAAGAACTTAAAAATTTGGAAACTTTTTTAGAAAACAGTAAAATTTGTGCAACATGTGAAATGTGTTCCAACAAAACGAGTTTGCCTGTTTCACAGGGTCCGAACCATGTGAACCACAAGGCTGTATCTATTGTATTTTGATAAATTATCCGAATTGGGGGAAAAGGTAACAAAAAGTTCATGTTATGTGACACTTCAATAAATAACTGGGAATAATTTAGTATAATATAATTGGGTCGAGAACCACGTTGTTTGATGAAGTGATACTATTTATTTTCGAAAACGATAAAAATATATTACATGGAAAAGAAAATGCCACAACAAGAGAAAATGTAAATTGGTTTCGCTAGCATAATTAACTTACTCCAAACATTCTATGAGCGCAAAGATACAAAATCAGTACGAGTCATCCAATGGACCCCTACGGGACTATTTACGCCCTGGACCCGCTCGGGTTCATTGCACAACACTGTACTACCATTTTTTTCAACGAACTGAAACATCTGGCAGCAGAATACGCCATTTCCTCCAATGCATACAATTCCGGATTTCCTCGCGTGGCGTGTGTTCCTCGCGTGCAGATACAGCGGCGGGTACTCTTCGCACGTGTGACGTGAGGCCGACGCGTCGCAACCACGAGACGGAGCAGCGACGTCACTGCTCTCCGCCACCGCAAACGAAAACAAGCATCGGAAACCATCACGCCACGCACCGGAATAGTGCATGAATGGGCAAACGAATCAAGGGGCTATGTGATGGCAAAACTCTTTCAATTAATTTTTTTTTGATTAATTACACAGGCACAAAAAAAAGAACTGTCAGACCCCAAGATTTTTCACCGGGAGGACCTAGGTTCGAGTTCCGACGGTGGCAGGGTTTTCGACACTAGCTTGTCAGCTAGATCGATTTCAGTTGCTGTCTGGAGGAAAATTCCAGCGGCCGGCTGCGGTGATCGATGATTTTCCGTGGTTTCTCGGATCAACTCTAGGTGATTGCCGGAGCAGTACCCTTACAAACGGGCCACGGACAGCGCGATCTTTCCTACCTCTTACTTGTCCTATTCTCTTACCTTACACACACTTACATGCACTACACAACAAAACATGCTGGGAGAGCGGTGGGGAGCTTAGAGCTTGACCCGGCAGGGGCGGTGCCCCACTGGTTGGAGATATGGTCCTAATATTTTAATAAAATAACATTATAACGTATACTCTCTTCCTAAAGCTAGAAGACAAAAATATTCCACACGTTGGCAACTCTACAAATTGCCTTTCAACTCACTGCTCTTTCGTCATGAAGTACAGACAGAAGGAAGAAAAATCGAAATGAAGAGCCTCAGGCTTAATAAAAATACGCGCGTTCACCGCAATGAAGCCGACAAAGAGAGAGGAACTCTGGTGCGGATCCTTCACAAGGATGTAATGCACATTATTTCAACCATAGGGACAGACGATTTTTTTATTTATTTATTTATTTATTTATTATTTTTTTTGCAGGAGCGTTTCAATGCGATGTTATTAGTTACCGCGCTTGAAGTTACGTAGTTGTTATAGTATTTTTTAACGAAAATTTTGATATATTTTATGTCGTTTAAAATCTTAACTTAAGGAACCATAAAGTAATTAGGGGAGCAGCACTTTAGAAAGATACTTGATTTTGTGATGTATGTCTGCGCATTTAATTTGAGCTAGCTGCGCTATTCAATTGCATCACATGATTGACCACTGATGAGGGAATTTAATTAATAATGTGTTTGTCACATACTTATTGATCTTCTGAACCATACTTCGCTATTGCTATGAATTACACATCACACGCCATTGCTCACGTTAATCATGTTTTACGCTTTTCCAATAGACGAAAGACTTTCTCGCAAGTAGGGTGTTTGTTCTATGGCTTGGTTTCGACATGGTTGTCAAGTGTCCTATTGTTAAAAAATTCTCCCTCAAATTTAGGCAAGCGTTCGCTATGACACTATCTTAGACACATTTGTTTTACTTATCCGAGATTCAAGTAATAATTTGTTCGATATTTCACAATCGCAGGGACAGAATACTTGTATGCAGTGAAGACGCGCTTAATCCTTGATTGTGCGTCGGGTTGCGTAGAGTTCAAGGGCGCTTACTCTCTGGGCGCTTGAGTCGTCATAAACGAATAAATCATTATCAACAACACCCCCGCTTGCCCGATTCAATTCAAACCACTCCTGAAAATGAAAATTTAAACTTCTTGTGGAATGGATGGATATTATCATGGTTACCCTCTTTTTCTCGTGCATTTTAGTGCAAGAGAACTATGCGAGCGTACGTGCGTGCGTGTGTATGTGTCTGTGTGTGTGTTACGATCACCTTAAGAAAGTTGTACAAGTAATTAAATGAGAGGGAATACAACTATGCGCCTGAATATGTGAGAGAATTGCGAGCAACTAAGAGAAATTTAGAAAGGAGTGTGGAAGTAAATGGAGGAATCGCGTATCTTCACCGGAAACGATCTTCACTGATATCGAGAGTACTTTCTACTCCCATGAATGAGTGATGCGATTCGGATGAATGAAAGAGAAACGTCCTGACATGTTAATGAAATAACATTATATCGTAGACTCTCTTCCTGAATCAGTACACTGAAACGTACGAGAAAATACTTTTACATGTTAATTACCTGCCTATCCATTCAATTAACTGAATGGAAATCAATTGAGCAATGTCTTCCGTCGTAGGAAATCTGTCATGTCCAAAAATAACTTATTTTACTTTTTAACGGATCTGCAAGTAAATTTTGACGACAATGCCGTGGAAATGAGGGTATACCTTACCTTATTTACATTAGATTCTTGGATGAGCGTTAAATGGAATAATCTGAAGACCAGGCGCCATGGCAGAGAGTTTCTCGCATCTCCTGTAAATTGTTACTTTGAACTTGTGCTTTACGCGGGAGCTCATGGAGATTGTTGCTATAATATGTTATCAAAGTAGTAGCAACGTAATTAAAGGAAGAGAACGAGGGAAGGAATCTCACCAAAAGAAAAGAATAAATAATTACAAAATAATAAATTTGGAATTGACACTAAAACGATGGGGCCGAACCACCCTTAACTATAGTAAAATCGTATAAAATTGCTATGTTAAATGTTCTAAACAGACTAACCACTATCTCTGATTCCCTTACAATGTATAACAGAACTCGCCAGCACGAACATTTTATGATTCAAAACAAATGTCTCAGGGTTGCCCTCTGCGCCCCTATAACACTCGAATCGAAAATAACATCCGCCAAATTATCGAGGCCAATTCCACTGCTGATAGCATTTTTTTTTTTTTTTTTTTTTTTTTTTGAAAAAGTACTGACTCGGGAAAACCCTCTCACTTCCCGAGATCGCCTCATACCAACCCGATCAAAGGGCCACGTAGAGGCGTCCGAAGAAATGAGACTTGAAACATAAACTTAGTATTTCCAAACACGCAATGCGGTAGGCTAAAGTCATTTTTTGACCTGTTTTTCTTCATGTTGCACGATTGGCCACAGATGCCCGTAAGGGTAGGAATGGCCTCAACGCGGTGGCGTGAACGTGCATTGCACTCTCCGTGCGTTCACAAAACCGCACTAAGAGTTCTAGGACATTTTATGAAAATCACAGTCCCCAACTTTCACGAACTTCAATCCTCTCTCTAAATCTAAAGGGTTCACATGCGGTAACAAACGCTGCTTTCTTTATAAAATTATTTTTTACTTAATTATGTAGAATTACCATTTTCTTTTAAACATTGTATTGGAAGCCTCTAAGCTGGCGTATTCAGCTCAAAGATACTTTACTTGTTTTTATATTAAACCACCCCCAGCCATGATTTCAAACAAGAACTTCTCTCTTAAAAATCTTATGCGGAATGAAGTACATCTAAAAGTGATGCAGGCCTGAAAATGGCAATTCTCAAGAAAAAAGAGAAGAAAAGAAAAAAGAACTAAAATATATTTCAAAATGAAATGTCACTTAAGTCGAAATGTCATCCTTTTGGAGTTCTAGTGTTAAAAATATACTAAATTGGAACCAGTGAAGTGCAAAAAGCTGTTTAGTGGAAGATTCAAGGGAGAGGGAGGATGGAGATAATGTGCTCCTCCCTCAAGCATTCGTTATATTTTTTTTTCATTTTACCCAATTTATTCAAAATAATTACTATATAGATATCATATCTAAACCATTATGATACACTCGTACATATTTTATTTTATGGTAACAATAAAAAGAATAATTCAAAAAAAAATTACGAGTGTCCGAACTGAAATTGATCCCCTTCCCCTGATTACTTTCTGTTTGCTCCCCTTCATTTACCTCCATGAATCTGTTATCTCAGCCGCCAAAATGTTGGTACTAGAGAACAATGTTACGCGCGGGTGTACAAGCATCGCGGAGAAGTTCGGGGCAGCAGCCGCGGGCGGCAGCACTGTTGCACAACGCGCCTGCGGCGGGGGGCCCGGGAGCGGCGGCGTGGGAGCCCGGCAGTCGTGTGCGCGCTTCGCAGGCAGGCGCGTGGAGATTGTAATCGGGCGCCGCCGGATTCGCTAGTGCTGCACTCGTCGCCGGACATTGACGCGCCAGCGACCGGCAGCTGGAGCCGGACACCAGTATCCTCGTTTCACTCACCGTCCCTTGCACGGTAAGAGCAAAAACATCTACGGGCGCCCATCGCATCGGGAACCTTCGCTGCTCTTTGGGGCCCTTTGCGTCCCTTCGTAGCCGTTCGTGGCCCTTCGACAATGGTCGTTGGTTCGGAATACCTTGGAACCGATTGTTAAAAGATCCCTCGGACGAAAGTGAAGTGATGTGGTGGTGGCAACAGTGATGGCGAAAGAATTATTTATTTGTGCTAATAAGTGATGTGCAGGATTCTAATGAGTGATCTGCAAATTTGGATAACGAAATATTTCTGAATAGTCGATTCTTTTAATGACATTTCCCCTCTTGCATAAACTTTATTGTAACATTTTGTGACGAACCATGCCTTTATATTCACTTCAAACTTTAAATTCAAAATCAGATGTTTTATTTTTGCTTTGTGTATAATTAACATTCACGTACCAATGACATTTCGGCATTCCAACACCAAACACACAAATGCTACCCAGTATGAAGCATAAGTATTCAAAAAAATTGCAATATAATTGAAGGAAATTTTTCTATACTTAAAAAGCAATGATACCTTATTTAATAATATTATACAAACGTTTTAAGCGTGATGGTGTTAAAATACCAGTTATTGAAGTTCAGTAAGGGCATGTTTATTTTGAATATTTTCTGTTCTTGCTGTCCTTTCCGTTGGTAGACATATGACAACACCCCTTAATTGCGAATTAGTTAAACATTGCCTTTGTTTTCCTATGCTAAAATTGTAATCTACACCGAGAGATACTAAAATAAGACTTTATTGTGATTGTCCAAACATGACAGTAAGAAAACACCGAAGTTTCTACGAAGCGATTACGCATGGCAACAGTTTCGACTATTTCTCGAGAACTCTCGGGCCTCTGGTTCGATCGATTGGGAAATATCAATTTTCAAGAAAATCGTATGATCGGTTTAGGGTGACGCTAGCTCTGGCTACAGACAGAACGACAGACGGACAGGTAGAGACACGGGAGACAGACATACAGGACAGTCAGTCAGACAAACTGACAGGTGTTTTGTCATATTGATTTTTTCCCACAAAAGATAGATTCGGACTACACAACGCCGTAGAAGAAGTAATTTATTACTCAGAAACAAGATTTAACCACTTTTTCGTTAAGAGGCCCCTAATACGAATTTTTCTGACGAATAATCGCTGATATCTGCCGCAGCATTACAACTTTCTCTTTACTACGTATGTAGTGAGGCGAGTAGTGCTGCGATCCGTCGCCGATGCACCCTCCATTTTTTTGCCAACGTATTCCCCATAGATAGCAAACAATTACACAATTACGTGTAATATCTTAATTATCAATATCGCTCATTATCACTCAGCACACAAGAGTATTCGGAGACGGAATATCATATAGAATTCGTTTTGTTATAAATGTTAAGATATTAATCTAGGGGGAAGTTAATGAAAATTCTACATGACATTCCTTCTCCGAACTCTTTTGTGTGCTTCTATGACGTTTGGTGTTGAGATCTCTAATCGAGATGGACATTGACATTTACACTAATGATGCAACTTCAAGTGGCTACAGCTTCGCCATTAGAAACAGAAATTTCTCACGTAGGAGGCAATCCAGATATAAAGCTCTGCTGCTCAGTATATATTTTGTGGTTTTAATATGTTTTATATGTTTTATTTATCCCATAAACAGGTACACAGAGTATCGCGAGTAAATTCCTCTTTGATAGAAACAAGTTTCTCTCACTTTAGAAAAAGACAAAATCGAAATTTTTGTGAGATTCAAATTAATTTAATCTTATTTTTAAAAAAGTGCCTACGTAATAGCCTAAAATTGATAAACTCACTTATTCAATTAATCGTTCTTCTCTAGTTAACATCAATCCATGCAATTGTTTTGACTGATTTCCCTCTGCATTCAAACCAGTATCTATTGATTCAAATCATGACGAAAATAGCTCTTCATATTATTCCTGACCACAATTAATGTACAATTATGAAATATTTCACATGACACCGCACCTTAGAGTTGCCAGGTGTGCTTCCACAAAATAGCGGACAAGCCCGGGGGTTGTGTTAAGTGGTAAATTGTTTTTAAAAAAGTAGTATTTTATTTGACTAAGCAGCTTTGATCAGTTCTTTGGGTTTAAAGAATAATTCTTTAATATCAGTACAACGACTGGAAATATAAAAATAATATGAAATGCAAGGTAAGAAAAATAGTATGTCAATAATTTTATATACTTTTATTGTATGTCTTATGACACAATGGACAATGATTAATATTTTTTTCGGAGAATCGAGTTCAATGGATGTTCGATCTTTGTCTCATTCTAACTTATGAAAAAAAAACGCGATTCTCTTATCCTTATTCTCTTAGGCTATACAGCTTTAGATTACGTACCATTTTATCATAAAGCTTTTGAAATAAAAATGTCCACTATTTTGTGAAACAATTGTGAACATCTAGTGAAAAACGCGCACTGCCCGCTCAAATAATGGACACCTGGCAACCCTATCGCACCTGCACATTGTCACTTATATAATTAACTTTACCAATCAATAGTCACTGCCCACACACCCACAGTGAAAATTATTTACGTGTTCGGCCGCAAGACCACTTAACACATCGGAGCTCGCGTTCTATTTGTTCCATTTAATCGCCCGAGAGAACATTAAATTTATGGAATCAACAAATTACCAAGATCTTACAGATTTACTCGTTTACGTTCACAACTGTATTACGTTCACAACCCATTATCTCGCTCGAAAATTTGGACACAACGAAACTTATCGTCCAAAGGAGACGTTTGCTCCGCGAGATGTTAAGATAAAAGGAGATAAACTGGCAACCTTGCGACGTCAGAGATCGATTCTTGGAACTGACGCGGGCTAACACTCTTTTTCTTCAAAAAACACGATTATTGAATGTGACAAAGCTCATTTTTATCTGAGGCAGATCAGTCTCTCGATGCTATACAATGTATGCAAGAAGGTCGTGATACATTTCGCTAGCTCTACGAAAAGTAATGAATTTAATGCAGCCGAATTGCGAGTGCAAAGTTGTTGCGGAAGCGAAATTTTCGTGAAAAGAAAACCAGAGTTAACGATGCAGTTGGGTGCAGCTCCATGCGTGTACGAAAGCTGGGTGAATGGCTTTCCTGGTTAAAAAAAAGTTTATTTTCGAATAAAGGAAACATTGTGAACATTTATTTGAAAATAAATATTTAGCAATTTTATTTAAAATCTCATTGAATCATCTTATTTGGTTATCAGTCACAAGAGCTGATCTGTAGCAGTTCTGCTTTCCATTTATCAGTTCTGTTCATTCCGGACGGAGTAATGCGATTTATCGTAAAATGCATCGTATTCGATGAATACCGAATTTGCGAACATTTCATTTTGATAGAGGTTTTCAAAAATTAATATTTAAATGACTTCAACAGCACATGGAATTCACTCGAATATACAATAAAAATGTCGATACGATCAAAATTTTATATCAGTTTCAGATTATAAAATTTTCATCAGATAATAAAATTTGTGGTCTTGTTTTTCAGTTTTTAGTTGAAGTAGTCTCCTCTCTGTCGTTGTTGAGACTTTCTGTATCAGGTAGTGACGTCAGAGTTTAGGAATATTTGGTAATTCAGCAGTGGCACAATGAAGCCTTGGAAAAACCTGCGGGAAAACATGGATGAAGTTTGAAGATTCGGATTATACTGAGTGAACGTGTAATATTGATCCGATTTTATTATAATTTCTCTCTTCTAGAAGACAAATTTGTGTATGTAAGCATTTTAAAATGAGAGACACATTTAGCAAAAACTATTGCATTGAGTAAAAAAGTAGGATAAATAACATCAAAAAACAATAAATTATCGAAGCACAACACGATACAAAAGTAAACACAAAAGAAAAGTCACGAGAAAACTATTTTGTGGTATTGTTTTAATATATTATGTTGGTGACCAACATGATTCTCCTTATTCAGGAAACATTGAAAGCCATAGTCTAAAGATGGCGCAAACATTGTATGCGGCTGCTGTATCCTGACGAAGTAGCTTACCTATTAGCACATTGAACATGAAAAACTACTGAAAGTACTCCAGGAAGCGAGTTTAAAATACTGTATTAGAAGAAAATGAGGTGGGTTTCTTCCGAATACTTCAGTCGACCAAAATCTCCGGGCTATCCTGAAGTGTGTGAAGTAATATTGTTTGTATTTGTCTAATTTTCCTCGGAGACGTGTCTGAAATCTTACTCTAGTAAAAATTTAAAAAAATAGAAGCTGCGACGTTACATTGTAAACTAAAATGAAATTCACTCATAAAATGTAGTACGAGTAATGCAGTAAATAAGAATACTTACGTTTCTATTATTTTGGAAAGAAAAAAACTTGCAAACGACAGCTAAAAATAATTTGTTTGCCTTCATTTCAGAAGCAGTTTTCAATAAACTCCAACTAAATGAATATAATATCACTCATTTCTTAAATAACGTAGGCATCCAGTGTTGCCACTTATAAACAAGAGTAATGATAACTAATACTGTAAATCGTATCGAAACCAAATTCTTTGCTCAACAATGACTTAAACTAGAAATTACACAAATTTCAGAACTGTTCCTAATATTGAGGCCACCTTCTGAATGTAGGTGGCTTTCAGTCGGTCCAGTACCTAAAGCACGGACTAAGGAGGTATTCATTACTCTATGCCTAAAGACATTTTTCGAAGATAAAGGCGATGAGAACGACAATCAGAAATGCGAAGAGAAATATGAAAAGAAAGACGAAGAGGAAGACGTGGAGGATGACGTAAAGAAGACAGAAGAAATTTCAGAAAGACCAAAGAACTACGAGAATCATAAAAACGAAGAATTTTCCTTTCCGGAAAATCGAACTCAATAAGTGGAGGACCTGTTGAGTTGCCCGGATCAGACGGCCGTGGTGCGGCGACTCCAAGAGCATTGTTGTTTGTCATCAGGAGCGCGGTTCGCTGTATCTGGTGTGCGGCGCAGACGTT